CTTCTCAACAAAAAAAAAAAAGAAAATGCGTTACATTGTCTCAACTTTTGTCTCCATGAAAATTTATCTACAACAGATAGTTTTTTTTTTAGACGGAACAGGGCTCTATAAGTTGTAGTTGAACTAGCGGACTTGACTTTGACCTGGTTTAGCAAGTTTTTAATGGCCTCAAATGCTTATTAATTTTATGCAGCAGTTTGGGGGAAACAAGGACCAGGACACCATCGATTATCACAAATTAAACAAGGCCATTATTGCACATTTTATCCGATTCGTTCCCATGGCCTGGTCTAGACATATTTCCATGCGAGTGGAACCTTATGGTTGTTCAGGTACGAATCGATCTCAGTTTGTTGCAATTTAACTTACGGAAAGTCCTAAGGGTCCTCCCGCACTCGCGAATGCGCGAGTAGGGACGGAAAATGTGCACGGTTCTGCAAAATAAGGGTAGAGAGGGAAAAAGGAATAAAACGGGGAAGTAGTAATTAAATGATAATCTTAAAGACTGACTCAGTCATGGCTTACTGACCCCGTTGCATTTGATTCAAATAACACGACGTCGAGCAAGCAGTTTTCCCACTAGCCCTCCCGCTCTGTCGATAATTAACAGTTAATCACTAATTAAGTAAAGGTAAAACGTAGTAGATAGTAAAAGTAGATAGTAGTGGACTCCACATTGATTCAGGAGTCGAAGGAGATCCAAGGGGAAAAGGCAATGTAGGTTCATCATGAATTTCCTCAAATTTAAAAAAATCCCTTGATTTTAATTAAAAAACTGATAATGTATGATAAAATTATATGATTATGATAGCAATGACGATGACGATGATGATGATAACGACGATGACGATGATGATGATAACGACGATGACGATGACGATGATGAAGACGAATAATAATAAGAGGATTTTAATGGAGGGAAGGGGTCACGTTGAGGGTTAAAAATAAGCTCTTTATGTCTCTTGCTCGCTTGCCTATAACCAAGTGTTTTACACTGTGCATAGCTAGGGGTGAGCTCGGTTTGCTGGGAGAATTAAACGGACAACCTTTACTTTGCCGTAATTTGGCCACTTAGTTGAGTGGCCGTTTATATTTAATATCAAATCAAGTTACAGTAAAACCGGAAATAGAAACCTAATCCCAGCAAAGGTGAGGGCAAACACCTATCGAAAGAGAACTCGACGTACCTATGAGAATGTTCGAAAACAAAGGGAGGGTTAAGAGGGTGGGAAAATGTTTGCCCTGGTAAATGTCATTTTTAACGGTTGACGATTAAATTTTCGGTTATTCGACGGTTGACGGTTAAGCTTTTGGAATGTCGTTTATAAAACGGACTAAATACACATATTTGGCTGCAATTTTTCATTATGACGCGTTTGTAAAGAACTGTTAATTTATAACACCTTTCATTAAAAAATTACTAAAATATTACGGCACCGGAAGTGTTTCCACACCGGAAGTCAGTTCTGTCGCTAACTAGTTTTACTCGCGATTGGAAGTGAAAGGACTTACATAAATGTATTTTTGGGATTTATCAAAACTTTTTTTTACAAACGACAGAACTTGAACCAAATTAAGGCAATTTTTTAGTTCTTAGTTAAGGATATCTGAGAAATTTGACGGCTAACACTGGCTTGCTTATTTGACGGTTGACGGTAATAATATTGCGTTTTTGACGGTTGACGGTTAATATTTTAGCTATTTGACAGTTGACGGTTAACCCCATTGAGACACTCTAATAAGAGTGATAATCATGACGACGATACATGGCGATGACGGTACTGAATATGACGATGACTCTAGCGATGGCAGTGACGATGAGTGTTACAATAAATGTCATTGATAACGATGAGGATGACGATGACTTAGGGAACGGATGAAAATAATCGCTGTGGTTAGGTGTCGGTCATGGAAAGTACGACATCTACTTTTTGAAAGGGTGAGAAATTTTTTATAATAAATAAATGTCTTTTTGAGCCCACAAATACGTGACATAAACACACGTAAGTTTTAATGAATTGTTTTTAATTCGTTTCAGAGTTCAAAGAAAGCCATGTTCAACGCTTGATACCAGGCCTCAGTGCGACTTTTGAGGAGAAATGGGTCGTCACACAGACATTTCTTTCATCTTACCTAAAACTGCTTTGATTTTTTTTCTTCTCAGAAGAACTTGCGATTCTGTTTTGCAGTTAGATTGATAGATGAGGAATGTATCATAAAGGAGTTGACCACGTGAACCTAAACCAACTTGCATTAAAGTCAGGTGGCTCAAGATCCTTCATAGCATCACACTGTAATCGCCAAGCCACTTGTCCAAATCCAGTTGAAGCCCCATCAACCCTTGTCTCAGGCTTTCAAATCCCGTTCCTCAGCCCGTAATCATTTCAAATCGTAGGCCCCAACCTAATTCTGGAATTTCCATTTAACTACGTTGTATCTAATCAAGGGAATATCCCATAGAATTGTCAAAACGATAACTATTGACCAAATATCGCCAAGTTTTTAATCGAATGCAAGGAAATAAAAGCTTTAGTCAGCAACGACTACCGTAAGGTAATTTTCTTGTTATATCAACTGAGTTGATAGATATAAATTGGCCACCGTGAGAGGCCGCACACTGCCACATGTTAACATTTACTTCCCTAAATAAAGGCATTTTAGAAAGTTGAAAACCTCAAGAATAAAAACACATCTTTCTCGTGGCTCTCTCAATCCCACGGAGTATCAACGAATGTTTTTCATTCAACTAATTTATTCTTCAGCTTTGCGCGTTGCCATGGCCCCATCAATAACGCAGTTCTACTATTCTTTTTCTTGACCACAAACAAACCACAATTACTCTACTAGCTCTGAAGAGGGGCGAAAGCTCGACACGTCAGCATTACAAACTCTTAACGGTGGCTTACTTCCATTACAAACTTAGTTAAACTACCCCCCTCCCCTCTGCGCCAACACTTCAGTTTCTTTAGAAACTTTTCCCCTTTATCCACCCGGAAAACATCTCTTTTGAGTAATGTGTAATAACCCTAATGGCTCCTTTATTCGTAGGTGCAATATTGACGAACTTTGCCCCCCCCACTCCCCCCCCTCGGTATAGCGAAATGGTTGACCTTGTCTAACCTCTTCCCAGGGTCATCCTCTGGGGAGAGAAAAGGTTTCTAAATCACTCGCCTCTGGCTCGTGTTTCACAAAGTTTTCTCATGGAGGTATTAGGTGGATTTAAGCTTGGCCAACTAAACCTACCCCTGTCCCCTTTCCCTTGCGATCAATAATGGCCCTTCCCGCCGGTGATCAATCATAATTAAGTAAGCAAAACAAGTTGTGTTATATTGTAAGCCGGAGCAGTACAATCAGTTTTGCAGCTATTTAGTAGGTCAGTATTGTAAATACTGTTACGCTTTAAAAGTATTGCATTTTCAGTTTCTGTTTTGTGGTGTTTACTTTTCCTCTGTTAGTTTTATGATTGTTTAGTTATTTTACCATTTAATTGTAAACGATGTTAGAAACCATGGTGAGTAATGTGTATAGTATAATTTTTGTGAAGTAAGAATCAATTAGTTCTGTAAAGGGTCTATAACTACCAAGAATGTTTCTAGTCAATAATGCTGACATTTTTCAATTGTACAGAACGGCCAGATAGATATATATCGCAGTGGGAATATCAGAATGTTTTCGAATAATAAGAATAAATGAAATGTTTAAGAAAACAAAATATATAATATTTTGAGAATTTAGCTTCAATCTTCTGCGAAATTAATGTTTCTGGGGGACGGGAAAGCTTTGCAGGCGCTTTCTATTTGAAAAAAAAACTTTAATTTTTGTGCGGCCTCCCCAGCTGAAAAAAGGTAAAGATAAAGGAAATATTCAATATGAGTTAGTTTTTATTCATTTTGTTTGCGAAAAAAACTTATTCCTCTTGATAGAGAACACTCATTACTTCTACCACATACAAATGCAAATGTACTGTTGCTTCACAATATCACCATGGGATAAAAAGGGTGCTAATGACTGTAAACGATGATTCCATTTTACTTTCTTCCACAAATGTACCAAAGCAATTGAAAAGAAAGAAGTATTTGTTTACGTTATCAACACGCCTTATTCAAAATTATCCTACTGCAAGAGAACTGGTTCAACAAAGCTAATGATACTGAATCTATACTTCTTTGTTATATTCGAGAAAACAATTGCTATAAATTTGTAATCACATGGCTTTACTCACATGTATTTCTCTCTCGGCCAAGGTAACTTCAAGTTCCAGAGAAAAGGTTAGTGTTCTTCAATTTTAAAGTCATTTTAAATCATTGCGCATTTTCGGGTCCGATTTCAAGTTGTCGTTGCGAAAGATAACTACATCCTGTTATCCTTAGATGGCTAGGTATTAGCGGAGTTCTCTTTTGAATGTTTTCACGGACTGAGACAAAGGCGAGGTCCATCAAAACGGAAAAAAAGAACGAGGCTAATGTTTAGCCATCTTGACCGAACAAGCTTAGTAGTGTACTGAAGGAGTTATCAAATAGCAAAACGATCAACGTTTTATTTTAGGAAACAAAACCTGTTTATTTCGAGAGATTGCAGAGAAAACCGACTTTTCTTGTAGTACAATAATCCTACAAGAGTCGTTTATATTTTCTTTGTTTTGACTGTCTTCTGAAGCTTTTTGTGACTCTATCGCCAACGTCGTCTAAATATTACGAACTTTTTACGTATGTCTGCTTGCTCCAGATAATTTTCTTTCTTGCGCGGGATCAAAGCGGCCATCCAAAGCGGGCAAGTCGGGCCCATCTCATCCGCTCTGGTACATAGATAGCGTAAATATTAGAAATTTCATTATCGCGATGTAAAGCGAAAATCGAGCCCACAAAAATGCAATTTATCAAAGATTCCTTTTGATATCTTATTTTTTTTAAGTTGTGGGTTTCGGCTGGTCACGGCTGTAATTGAATCGAGCATTTATTTCCCGGAAAACTTTGGTCCATTCGAGCTGATCGCGGGGAGAAATGAAAGACATCACTATATGGATCGTGTTGATGTCTGCTGTGGGAACAACGATGGATGCAGCATTTGTTCCGGTAACGATAAAAGTTTTTTTGGAAAGATTTCCGTATAACCCCATACCAATCAAAAACAAAGCCGAAGTCCCAAAGGAAATCTGTTGTTTTGCCACTGCCTTCCTTTATCCAAGAATTGAATGCATAATGAAGTATGGGGTTATTCGGAAATCTTGTCTTTTTTTTTTTGCTCTTTAAATTTAAAAATCCGTCTTGTGTTCGAATCAACGCCCCGCCTAAGAGAGTTACACTGAGGTTAATCCCTAGCCGTAGAACGGTAAAAACGGTTGGCCGTTAGGCGTAAAATTGACAAATCTTCACAGTTTTTTTAATCTGCCGCTTTGATGGGCCAAAAATTCTGAGAGACAGAGTTAATATTCTCAAAAGGGATTTGGACTTCATTTATTCCACGCTCATGAACAAGTTTACTTATTTCTTTTCAAAGAAAGTTCTTTGATTTTGCTTTGGAAATTCGAATGTATAGTTAAAAAAATTTCCCTGCACACTGAGATGAAAAACAGGCTTTGAATTACAATTTTTTTTTTAGAAGATAGCACAAAACAAATAAAAAAGGTTTCAATAGACAAGAAAGGGCTATTTGCAAACTTTAATTGTCCTGAAAAGGATGTGTAAGCGTTCATTAAGAGGATTGTCACACAGGAATAGTATACACTTGCTTCACACTTGTAAAAGGAATTTTTTCTCACCTCTTTTCCTCTGTTTACCATCAGAAAGGGATCCTTTCTATAGAACATTTGCAGAAATTTTGAAATGGCACAAAAAAAAAAAAAAAGGATTTTTGCCTTCTGACTGATAACGACAGGAATTATGTCAGTTGAATTATGTTATCATTATTTATCGACTCGGCCTGGTTACTCGAAAATGATTTCCAGATATGAGGGATAGCATTGTGCAAACAGCATTTTAGGCAGGATTTCCTTTCAATGTCATACTTCACTATAGAAAAAGTTATACGAGAAAAGAAACATGGCGAAAGCAATGTATTATCTTAAGGATAAGTGCTTTGTTGAAGATATGTAAAGCGTTGTAGAGAAATTTTTCCCTGTTTGCGTTGCAGCCATGAACTTTAAAAAAGGACGCGTTTCTACTGAATTTGTACTTTATAAATGATATTTTTTGTATTACAGGTAAAATTCAGCGCCACACAAGAAGACGGTAAGATCAAAACTGTTCTCAGCGGATCGTTTTAAGGATTTTTGGTCACTTCTAAAGTAGTTGATCAAGGGCTACCACGAGTAGAAGTTTATGCAACTAAGGTACCTAGGAATTGTGATATTAGTTGAAGATTTGGCGCAAGAATCGAGTTTAGGTCGAGTGCAATTCCTTTATATTAAAATTGCGTCTTTTTCGTGCACTCCATTATAAAAAACCGCTGACACCTGAGATGTCTGAAGCATTGACTCGGAGACTAAACAGTTTTATGAGAACTTTTGCAAAGTTTGAAGCGTGGATGACTTTTGTCATTTACCGCGTGCAATTAATAGTGTATCATTTCCAACACTTTGGGAGTCAAAGTTTTTGCAGCCGAGTGTGTGCTAAACAGAAGATATTTGCAATTGAGAGACTTATCACCGAGCCCTGTTTTAAGGCAGAGGTATTTAGGCATATCGAAAATGGCCAACGGCTAGATTCCGGTATGCCTTAGTGTTAGATTTCTCTTCTATTGCACCTAGAGTTTGAATCATCTTAATTAATCGAAAAACCAGGAAAATGTGAACAACCTCTTGGCCTTGAAAAGGGTAATGTTTCCAACGGACAGCTCAGTGCCTCTTCGGAATGGGACTGGAACCATGGTCCCAGACGTGCCAGACTTAATATTCAAAGAGAACGAAGCCGTGGCGCTTGGTCCTCTCGAAAAAATGACGGCAACCAGTGGCTCCAGATCGATCTCTTTGACGAAAATGCCAAAGTGACAGGCGTTGCCACACAGGGAAGGTCTGACTGGAACCAGTGGGTCACTAAGTACAGGATTCAGTACAGCAAGGATGGAAAATACTTTCAGTTCTACAAGGCGCAAGGACAATCTACGATCAAGGTAAATTAACTTGTAGAAGTACATCCAATATGATAGCCATGTTGCATGTAACTATTTGTTTTGCAGCTTGTCTCATAGCTATAAGATCTAGAGCAACCATTTCAGGGTTGCAATACTTGTTTCCGTTGCCATCTCGAGCACTGTGAGAACATTATCATGTCTACGGTGAACGGGTAGCCTTATTCCAGGTAAATAACGTCTTGTACACTGCGCCAAGATCTCACCATAGTCTATATCCAGCCCACTTAAATAGTCAGGCGTGATCTATAACGCAGGTTGACGCTTTTTATTTCCTATTGATTTCTCAGGAATTTACTGGTAACAAGGACAGAAACACCATAGTAAGGCATGACCTGAATCCACCAATCACAGCACGTTTTATCCGTTTTCGACCTGATAGTTGGGTTGGACACATTTCCATGAGGGCGGAACTCTATGGCTGCTTAGTCGGTAAGAAAATAACGTATTTCTTAAAAAAAACTTCTCCCTTTTGTTGATCTTTGCGTCTAAAGCGCGTGATCTGCTTGAACCCAGTTAAAAGTCAAGCGTACCTGGCGGAAAAGAGTTCATTATAGTTTGTTTAAGCCTTAGACGCCATCATTATTTGGAATAAAAAGTCCAAAGTAAAACAGCAAAATTACGACACAGTCGATGAAAGAAATTAAATCAGTTATAATGAGGTGAGATAAGGCCTCATCATGAGTTTTTGAGCTGACCTCTGAATGTGGATCAAACTTTGGCCAACTGCAGTTTCTACTGGAGATTGAGTGTCCACGATTTATGCAGTTCATGCATTGCAATTGATGTGACATCCATTGTTGGTACAACCATTTTGTGCATCCATTTGAAAAATACACGGAAATGCATCAAACCTCTCGTTTTTATACCCATTTGTACATCCATTCGTTCAAAAAATAATGATGATAAAATACAGGTGAGTGTCTCAAGCCCCTCGGCGTGCAAAGCGGTGAAATCTCTGACGAACAAATTTCTGCCTCTTCGGAATGGGACAGAAACTATGGCGCCAAACGCGGCCGACTTGAAATTAAGAAAGAAGGGTCGCTGCGAGGTGCTTGGTCTTCTCGCAGGAATGATCAAAACCAGTGGTTACAGATCGATCTTCGCACTCATTATACGAAGGTGACAGCCGTAGCCACACAAGGAAGAGATGACTGGCAGCAGTGGGTCACCAAGTACAGGTTGCAGTACAGTCATGATGGAGAGAACTTTGAATTCTATAAGGAGCCAGGGCAGACTACAATCAAGGTGAAGGAAATTGTAGATTATAATGATCATTTTGTCTACTCATTCATCAAGATTTAGGACGAGGCTATATGGCTTCTTAAACGACTTTTTTTTAACATCTTGAGTGATAATTCACAACAGTTTAGTTCTAAACTGTTGTGAATTAGCTTGGTAACCCTCTAACTCCCAGACGCGATGAACAAGAGACTTCTCTGTATAATATCCATACATTATCCAGCAAACAGGTAATGGGGGTACTTAAACTTACCAGGTGGTTGTTACCCTGCCCTAAATACAAATTCGCGTAGCTTATTGACAAGGAAACGTGTTGCAGCCGGAGGGGGGGAAGGGAGGAGAATTGACAATCAAATCTTGGAAGTTGACGGGCTAACAACTACATTCGCAGGAGTGGACTGTTGGCTAGTGTTGAATATTTACCGAGCCTCGAGGCGATGACGTAAACAACCACCGCTAGCCACAGACAAAGAGGTGAATAGTTGTTTTGGTGGATACTAAAACAGTAAAAAATACAACACAAATAGACGAAAGGAGCTCGTGAAATATTTATTCCTAGAACGATTACAAGATTTTTGGACACAAATCTCTCACAAGTTGCTCGGAGGTGAATAAACAAGAAGAATATTGCAAGTTTGAGCGGTAAATCATAGAACGCCTTAAACACAATCCGCTGTTTTAAGATATACTTATACAAGTTGGCCACAGTGAAGATTTTTTAAAGCTGACGTTTCAGAAACTAGCTCTTCATAGCAAATAATGGAATTGTGGATTGTTTGCAGTTCACTATTGGTAGAAACACGGTAACGTGAAGAAAAAGATCGAATAGATTTGTTGAATGAAAAAAATGATACTATTGGAATTAGTAGTGCCGATTTGAAAGATGAATTTTTTTTCTAGAGTTTTACAACTTTCCGAACTGGCCGCAGACTGACATATGCATATGTTCTCTGGACTGACTTGGGAGAAGGTGTCCACCAAATGGTCTCCGGATGTCTTTGACATTTCTTTCTACGTCAACAGTATCATGGGGTTTAATTCAAGTTCTATAAACAAAATTATTTAAAAATATATTTTCATTCATTACCTTTTTTAGGAGTTTACAGGAAACAAGGACCATCTCACCATTGTTTTTCACAAACTAAATCAGCCAATATTTGCGCGTTTTATCCGATTCCTTCCCCGGTCATGGCGTTCGCATATCTCCATGCGGATAGAAGTGTATGGTTGCCCAGGTACAAATTATCTAATTTTATTTGGTAGTTCTCTTAGTTTACTTGTGGGAGACGCGATTGGCTAATGGTTAGTGCACTGGTCCGGGTCGAAAAGCCCAGGTACCAGACCTGCCTGTGTCAATGTGTTACGCTTCACTCTATCACAGTGCTCCTCTCCGCCCAGAACTATAAATGGGTACCGGCGACTGGTGAATTGCTGGGGTGGGGGAGGGGAGGGGAGGGGAGGGGTAACCTTGCGTGCAATGAGGTAGTATCGATACGCCTAATCACATGATGCTAAGGAAACTGGGATAAACTCCCGCGGTGTGGGCCATTTGGCTCGAGTATAGAGTTGACCGTCATTTCAGTATTACCCCACACATTAACAAATGGTAAACACCACAGCGTACACTATTGAGTTATGGATGCACGCGGGAGGTTGCTAAGCACAAAAGAAGCGTTAGGGTCGCGCGAGGCGATAGCCAAGAGCGACTCTAGCTTCTTGAGTGCTTAGCAAACCTCCCAAGTGCATCCATAACTCAATAGTGTACACTGTGGCGTTTACTATTTGTTTTATAACATAACATAGATACATTGTAGCAAAAGTGTTTTTTTTTTTATTTAAGAAATCTTACATGACTAGAAAAAACAAGCGCATGCGGAAAACTAGTTTTTGCATTTGCTCACGTCAGCAGCATACACCCATGGGCAATTGCAAATGGTGGACGCCAAATCGACCAATCAGAGCGCGCGCTTCACTTTGGTTATGTTATAAAAAAAGGTTTTTAGGTGGATAAAGTATGGAGACATTTATACTGTGCCATAAAAAATACAGCCAATCAGAATACAGGAACGCTGTTGCATAGTCGACGATACGCCAAGCCTTTTCGTTGTGCTGCAAAATTTTCCCGTCAAAATTTTGAAGGCTATATCCTACATTTTTCATGCACCTGATCACAGAAATTTCATTTGAAATTCATTCAATGTATTCAGTGTTTTGATGTTTGATAAGTAAGGACTTTCCTTGAAATCACAAACTTAATTTCTATGGCGGCATGTGAAATTAAAGCAAGTAGGTAAACGCGGAAACACAAGTGACTCGTGGGACATTCTATGATATAACACCCGAAATCACTGCATAAAAAATATTTTAACGAACTTAACGAATGTTCTTTGCTCTAGCTCTGGTGGAAAACATGGACCAGGACGGAGATGGATTTGCCAGCCAAAGTGAAGTGAAAAGCTTTGGTTTAGAGTGGAGGGGTAGTGTGGAACAATTTGATCTGAACGGTAAGTGTGCATAAAACTTTCTATCTTTTGTTATGTTAAAGATCTTAAAATGAACGAAAATGAAAGTTTCTGAGAAAGATCGCCTATGGAATAGTTTTCTTAAGGTGGTCAGCGGGGATTCAATTTAGCACAATGATCCTTTCTTGTATGAACTAGAAAACATCCTACTGTTATCGATCGCCTCACGCAGGGGATGGGGGTAGGGGAAGAGATATTCCTTAAAACTAGCTAAATATGTTTTTACTGCCCTAAAGAGAGGTTTTTGCGCTTTGTAATTTTAGTTGGAGAATGGGTACATGAATTTTGACCATTTTGGTCTCGAATTAGATATGGTTTTAGGGGAACCGGGGAAAGTATAAACGCAATTTCAAAACGAATGAAATAATCGAGAAAGAAAGGTAAAAATCACAATAATACCTATGATGTACGATCCTCGCAGTAGATAGCGCTATTTATGCAATAGCGAAAATAAGACCTGAAAAAAATCAGGCCTGTATGGGACTCGAACCAGTGACCTCTGCGATACTAGTGCAGCGCTCTACCAATTGAGCTAACAAGCCAACTGGGAGCAGGCCGTTAAGTTGATTAGGTCAGCGGTTCGAGTCCCGTACGGGCCTGATTTTTTTCAGGTCTGATTTTCCCTATTGTGTAAATAGCGCTATCTACTGCGAGGATCGTACATCATACGTATCTAATACCGCAGTTCAACATATATGAACTTCATATATTCATTGTATCTCAATTACAATAATGAACAAAAATATATCATTTAAGCAGATTATTATGGCGGTGTAGTGATCAAATTTACCACCTCCCCTCCCGATAAGGCTCTGTATAATTTTTATGATCTTCCCTCATTGGCGTTAAAATGGCAGCCAATTGTTATAGTCCCCACTTGATACCCTATTGGCGACGACTGGTACCCCTCTGTCCCTTTTAGCTAAAAACTATTTGATCCCCATGCGAAAATCCTCCAACACCACCCCCCCGGGGATAAATAAAGACCAGTTCCTCTCGAGATCCACGTTCAAAAGCTAAGAAATTATTACTGTAGATTCTTTTTATTCACAGCTGATGGCAAACTTAGTCCGGAAGAGTCCAAAATCATGACTTCCAAAAGTGAATTTGATACGAAGCAAATCCTGTGTCATTTCGAAGCCACCGATACGAACAATGATTTATTCGTGACGGCTGGAGAGCTGAAGAAACGATTTGAATACTTGAAATACGACATCTCTCTCAATAGCGTCACAGAATTTATTAAGAAGGGAGACGTTGACGAACCGGATAATAAATTCAATTACAACGGTGAGGATAGAATTAATCATATCAATATCATAAATGAGGTGATAATACAGCTAGGTAGTGGACCGAATTAAACGATATCTGTTTGCAGAATCCATACTTAAATATATTGCTCACTGTCAAAACGAGACTCATTTTCCTGAGGGCCGAAAACACGTGAAGACGTACAAATTAAACAAAAGGGAACGTGGAGGGTCAAGGATGGGAAAGAGTGAAACCAAGAGAACTGAATAATGGGACATTACCTTTGTTCCATAATTTTCTCTTGGTGAAACGGATCGTGGATGATTATCTTGAAAGGTTTTGACGTACAAACTGTGACAGAGCGATAAAAATTTTAAATATCAGGACGAGTTCGACTGTAATTTGTTTTCAAGGTTTTGGCGAATGCCAGCTTAGGAGACCTCATTGAGCTCTTTTGAAAAAGCATTACTTGCGACTATCGGTGGAGGATAAACCTGGTCAGATTAAAACCATAAAGCGGTTGGCGTTTCGTTATCGTATTACCAGGCGCCTCAAAATATTGATAATTATTGTTAATTTCTTTTCACCACTGACATGGGTCAAGTTCGTGGGCTCCCCCCTGTTTCACAGTGTAAGCTTTGGTACTCCTCGAGGAATTTATGTGCGCTCTATGATATGCGGTGGCCTCGAAACTCCTGGATTTTTAAGCAAGCTTGATTAATTTTTGATTGCATTGCCGCAGGATAGTAACAAAGCGGTACGTCACGTCATACTGTAGAAACCAGATTAAGTTCTACCGTACCATGCCCTATGAAAACAACTAGCGTAGTCCATCAATCTTTGGCTCTATATCTATTTCTTTAATCCTTTACCTGTAAACTTAGCTATCATAAATTTCCTTTTTTCATTTTAGAGTTCAGCTTGGCCATGTTTGGTGCTTAAGACCCAGATTATTGTATGAACAATCAACTACGAGAGAAGCATCGAGTCAAACAGGTCTACGAAACATAAGCAGCTCTGTTTTAGTTGTTCTTGGGAAAGTTTGACGTAATATGTTTTGGTCACATAGATTTCTAATTGTGGGATGTCTCAATAAAGGAATTAGTAAAATTACTCATTTAGTTCGTGTTTGATACTGTTCTTTACTGCGAAAAATACCATCAGTTAATTTTTCCTTTTCATGCATGAAGAACTGTCTGACGAGCTTTTCCACGTACAAATGTAAAGCGACCTTTAATTCTAGGTATCGCCCTGAGAAAAAAAGATGCTAATCAAACAATTATTCCCTTTGTCTCGCAGTTGTGCTAAAGCAATTGAAAAGAAAGAAGAATTTGTTTACTTTTAGAGAAGGCTTCATTCAAAGTCCTCCGATCCCAAGGGACCTTGTTTAACAGAGCCTTTTGTTTATGGTGACAATTTACTCTATTGTTCTACACGTATCAATATGCTATAAGATCGTTCTCACACGGCTCTAATCACATACATTTCTCTCGCGGCTAAGTTTACATCGTACTTCGAATTCCGAAGGAAAGGTGAGTGCTCTTTCATTCGAAAGTAATTTAAGAATCATTTTGCATTTTAAGTGGCCGTTACGAAGGCCACTTAGTTCCTTCCTGAGACATCGACTACGTCAATATTAGGAGTTTTATTTTAATTTCGCCGTATTAGCCACGGCGTACACTTAAAACGAGCCAATAAGAGTGCAGTTTGACTTAGATTTATAGTAAAGATTTTGTGAAGTTGTGCCAATACTGGCCAGTAAATCAAGCATTTTTTCGCAGAAGTTTTTGATAGATTCGAGCTGAGTGGAGGAAATGATGGACATAGTGATATGGATCATGTTGATGTCTGTTCTGGGAACAACGATGGATGCAGCATTTGTCCCGGTAACGACAAATATTTTGCTTTAATTGCTAGGTTTTAAAAATTCACCTTCCCGTTGGAATCAATTCCCTATGTTAGAATACAGTCGAGATCACGCAAATAGTTTTTCCATTCTGCTGCTTTGCTGTGTTAACATTATTTAAAAAAGACCAGTGACAGCGAAAGTCGCATCTAGCGAATTCTCAACAGAGTTTCGGATCTTTATTTATTCCATGCTGCAGACAAAGTAAACTAAATTTCTTTTAAGAAAAAACTGTTTGATTTTGCTTTGAAAAGGTAACAGTGCAAATAACACTGTGTAGAATGTGAGCAACACGCTTTGATTTGCAAAATGTTTCTGTGCAAATAATGCAAAAATAGAATAAATAGATTTCAATAGACTATTAAGAGCTCCTTGCGGCAATCTGTTCTCTTAAATTGTCATGTAAATCATGTTTGAGTGTTTATTTAGCGGATTCATACAGGTATAGTATACACTTGATTTTCACCCTTGCAAGTAATTTATCTTAATTGGGTTATATTTTCTCGTCCACTCAAGATTTCTTTCTTTATCGCCGAATTAGGATCATTTTACATTGAGATCTGCAGGCATTTTCGTGTTTCTGAACGACCGCAAAACTCCCTTTGCATTGTTACTGATGACCACTTGAGTTTCGTCAATCATTTGCAATTCCTCCTTTTTCCTCGCAACAATTGTGCTCTTAAATTGTCACGTAAATCCTGTTTGAAGGTTTAGTTAGCGGAGTATAATTAATGTAGAAATGGTAAACCCTTGTTTTCCACCTTGTTGGTAATTTATCTTGTTGGGTTATATTTTCTCTTCTTTCAAGATTTCTTTCTTTATGGCCGGATTAGGATCATTTACATTGAGATTTGCAAGCATTTTCGTATTTCTGAACGAACAAAAAAGCTCCCTTTGCAATATTACTAATAACCACTTGAGATTCGTCAGTCATTTGCAGTCCTCCTTTTTCCTTCCGGCAATTTGTACTCTTAATTGTCATTTGCAATTCCTCTTTTTTCCCTCGATTCGGCTATGCTAGTGGGAAACTATTTCAAGATATAAGGGATAGTGTCGTACAAACAGCGTTTTTGGCAAGAGTACCATTCAGTGCTATGCTTAACCATGCAAACAGTTCTGATTAAAGTAAACAAAGCACAGGCGGCCCAAGCTCTCTTTGAGAACCACACAAGGAACACAATTTGCATATTTATAAGGATTTGTATGGGATTTTCTACAAGATATCCACAGAGATAGCCGCATTTTAACATAACTTGTCGTTTATAATGAAATATTTTGTATTTCAGGTTAAATTCATTAATGAGCAAGATGAAGGTAATTACATAACTGCCCTCAATATATATCTCCAATATAATATAATTTTTCAGCCTTCTTTATTTAGCATCGTATAGGTAGTGAATGCCGGCTGAAGAAAGAACCAAATCAGTATTTTATTCTAGAGACGACGGTGGATCTAAACGAAAAACAGTGAGGCTAATCTGGTACATCTAAAATTTCATTTCATACCGTTACTTTTAAAGTTTGCTGATAAATTTTGGAATTGGACATTATGAGCCATAAAAGGAATTATCATCCAACTACACCTAGACGAATACAAATAACGCCATAGACGAGTACAAATATCACGCGGTATTTGTACTCGTCTATTGTGGTACCGGTTAAACAGGTTTTCTCGCATCGCGCAAGCGAAGAAGGATTGTAGTTACGAAAAAAAAACCAAATGGCGGACAATTTGAATCATATTTCCGACGACGAAGAGTCAGAATGGCTGGCAAATCTAGATCCAAGTTCATTAGATGAATCGAACGAAGAAAAACAGCTTGACGACCAGAAAATTTCTTCAAAATAGAAACAGCAGCACAACAACGTGCCAATTCCTTTCCTCTTCGCATACTTCTGTCACGCACTCCCCGTAAATAAACATCCGCGAGATTCGCCCGTACTGAAATAACAGTTTGGCGTGTTGGATAATAAATAACTTATTAAACGTTTTGTTGTAAAGTATCGCTGAGTAGTTTTACTCGTTATTTGTATTTTGACTCGAACGAGGAAAAACAGCTTGACGACCAGAACATTTCTTCAAAATAGAAACAGCAGCACAACAACGAAGAAAAACAGCCCTACGGCCTCGTCAAAATACGGCACAACTCGTAAAAATACTCAGCGATACTACACAACAAAACGTCTAATAAGACATATTTATTGCATGTTTTGATTCGTCGTCTGCACTTATAAATTGTCCTAAACCTCAACTTCTTCGAATCCACGACAGAGGTGAAAGTGTAGCAGAATATACTCAAGAGTAACGTCTATCGAATCTCGGCTGTTTGTAATTCGTGTGTTGGAAAATACGCCTTATTTGGGGAACCGTTCATTATTTATTGCCTGAGGAGGATGGAGGAATTTGGGGGAGGTGGGCTAAATGGTTTCAGGAGGGGATAGGAAGGGATCAATCGTCGCCAACAAAGTATAAAGGGGACAATAGAAGAATGACTGCCAAAAAGGAAGATCAATACAACATTACAGATTTTTTTTTTTTTGGGGGGGGGGGGGGAAATTAGTTTAAGCTTGACATAACAAAATCCTTCCACCGTCCACCCTCCCCAGGCATTGAATAACGCCTCTTCGTAGTTGATCAATGACAAGCATGAATACTCTATGCAACTAGAGCGACTCGGGAATTGTGGCTGTAATTGTTTATTGGGCACAACATGTACAGCCTATTTATAAAGCACTGAAGTTAAAACTGGGGCAAATGCAAAACATTGCTTGTGAAAATGCGTATATACCGCAGGAGAATAAAAACTTCATATTAAAGCCTGTTTCAATTAATACAGAGGTTTTTGGGGCGTCTCCAGAATGGCATGCTACCAGATGTGTGGAATTAATTAACCTACTTTAACAGTTCGTATCTGTAGTAACCAATTGTTTTATCACCTTTCAGGAACTTGTGGTGGACCTCTCGGCCTCGAAAGCGGTCAGATCACCGACGGGCAGCTTACTGCCTCTTCACAATGGGATTGGAACCATGGCGCTAGACGTGGTAGACTGGATATTCAAAAGCAAGGCGCCCTTCGAGGTGCTTGGTCCTCTCGCAGGAATGACGGAAACCAGTGGCTCCAGATTGATCTCTTCGACGAAACTTCTCAAGTGACAGGTGTTGCCACACAGGGAAGGTTTGACTGGAACCAGTGGGTCACTAAGTACAGGCTGCAGTATTCTGTGGATGGAGTGACCTTCCAGTTCTACAAGGAGCAAGGTCAATCTGCAAACAAGGTGAATATATACACCTTATTTGATATAATACGCCTGAATAGTTTGCGAGTTGCGTAGTATTTTCCGAACCCGAAGTGCAGAGGAAAAATACGAGCCCAACTATGTTTACAACCAGTCTACAAAAATGCATAGAATTGACCGATTCCCGGCCTACTAGACCTCTTCAACATGGTCTTATATGATATGTAAATGCCTTTTGTTATCTCAGGAATTTACTGGTAACACGGACAGAAACACCATAGTGAGGCATGACCTGAATCCACCAATCACGGCGCGTTTTATTCGCTTTCGACCTGTCAGTTGGGTTGGACACATTTCCATGAGAGTGGAGCTCTATGGCTGCTTTTCCGGTAAGATAATAATGTTTTAACGCTATCTTTTTCATTGATCTTTACATCACGAGGGTGTCAATGGGTTAATGGCTCATTGGGCCAACGATTAAACTTTTAGCCATATTACGGTTTACGATTAATTTCTTTCCGTTGTGGTTAAAAGAAAAAGAAATACAGCTGACTTTTTACGCGCGATGGCTAAATTTCTGGTCATTTTACGGCTAATTGTTAATCCCCTTTGAGACCCTCTTCTAATTAAAGCGATTGATTTCCTCAATCCTACTTCAAAAGATTCAAGTGTGCGCTGAGCTGAACCGTTCACTTTTGCTTGTTTAAGGTTTAGATACACCGGAATGACTTGTCGTCCCCAATCTCCCTGTTCAATCTCGAAAGTTCTCTGGATGTCGGTTAATTAATAAGTTTTAATAGGTAAAATGAATTTATCAAACCTGCGATGCCTCGTCGTTGCAGTAACGTTTTTTTCGGATTTACCTGAATGCCTGAAGTCAAGGTCAAGGAAAACTACACACAATACCTTTTAGGGATGTCGCGCGCACTCATTCGCTTTTCTCCGACAACCTGTCTCGAAATAGCTGTAATCTACAGAAACCACAACAAGCTCCAACTGTTTGGACCATTGGACTGCCTGTGTAAATACTCATCTTTAATAAGCTGGTAAAATCATCATTTTTAATACTTGTACGTGTTACCTCAATGTCGGCAAAACCATTTTTGCATCTATTTGTTTGAAAAAAAAAAATTAAATACAGGAGAATGTCTCAAGCCCCTTGGCATGCAAAGCGGTGAAATCCCTAAGGAACAATTATCTGCCTCTTCGGAATGGGACAAGAATCATGGCGCCAAACGCGGCCGGCTTAACATTAAGAGAGAAGGGGCGCTGCGAGGTGCATGGTCTTCTCGAAGAAATGATCAAAACCAGTGGCTACAGATCGATCTTCGCACTCGGTACACGGCAGTGAAAGGCATAGCCACACAAGGAAGAGATGACTGGAATCAATGGGTCACCCGGTACAGGTTGCAGTACGGTAACGATGGAAACAACTTTGAATTCTACACTGAGGTTGCAGGACAAAGTGCAATGAAGGTGAAAGAAATATTAAGTTATGCTAATCACTTTGTCAGTCAAAGAAAAATTTTTTTGCTTTTTTCCTTCTTGACGCGTAGGAGGTCGTATGCCTTCTTAGCCAAACGGATTGCGATGGTATCATGATGTCAACCTCATTCCCAGAGTAAAAGGCCCTGGGAACGAGGTTGATCATGGTGTATGATGAAAATGAGAAATATTCTCATAGTCACCAATTTTGTTTAGGAGTTTACAGGAAACAAAGACCGGTTCACCATTGTTTTTCACAAGCTGAGGCCAGTCTTCGCACGTTTCATCCGAATTCTTCCTAGGTCATGGCATGGGCATATCTCCATGCGGGTGGAGCTGTATGGTTGCCCAGGTATACAAATTACCTTAAATTCATTTAAGTATCTCTTACTTTAGGTACCAGTCGTTACTTTTTGTCGGGGAGGGGGCTCGGAGGATCTCATGGTTTTCAGGGCAGAGGATGAGGGATAAGTCGTCAGTAACAGAGTATAATGATGGAAATTGACTGCAATTGGGATTATAAGAAAACTAGCGAACCTTACAGGTGGATTAAGAAAATTTTATCTTAACACAACGAAAGTTCACCGGCCCCTTACCCAGGCGATAAATGGAAATGAAAAACAAAAATACATGAAAATATTTTTATACTATGTCAGAAAACATAACCAATCAGAATACAGAAACGCTGTTGTACATTCGACGGTGTGACACCCAGCTTTTTTAATGTGCGGTACTATCTTCCCGTCGCAATGCTGAAAACCATATCCCACACTTTTACCATTATATTGCGCACGTGATACATTTTTGCGTGTAAAACATTTTTGCGTGAGACCATAATATTTTTATTCGAAATTCATTCATTGCATTCTCTTTAATGGAGATTGATAAGGAACAGTTTTTAAGATCGAAGGAAAAAAGGAGCCGTCATTGAAGTTATGCGATGGCGTCGTATGAAATTAAGTGGGTAAACAAAGAAACACGAGAGACTTAAGCTTGTGAGACATTCAAAGATACTCCACTCGAAATTAATGCATAGCCGATACATATCAAGGAACAAGTCTGAACTGGTCAGTTTTATTTATTTATTCATCTATTTGTTTTCCCATGAAACGCGAGAAGGCCTTGAAGAAATTCCAGATTTTAAATATTTAAATTTGTTCAAGGATGATTTCTCCAGCTGAAATTACACTTTACATCAAAATTAACAATTACCTGTTTGGAATTTATTTAGTGCCGTCTCAAACGGGAAAAAAAGGGGAAAAAATTAATTTTTTTCAAACTATTATAGAAAAATGAGCCAAAACTTGAAAATTGTTTGATCGACTGGCAAATTTATAGTACAACTCCTTATGCGTCGTTGAGCTTAGTAGAGGAGAATCTTCCCATATACTTATGATTAATGATAATTTAAAAACCTCTTATTAAAATGGAGAAAACATAAAAGAATCAGTGACGTTTACTTTGCTTTTGAGCTTGCTTCAATCGACTAAAACGAATGTTCTATGCTCTAGCTCTGGTGAAAAACATGGACTCGAACGGAGATGGATTTGCAAGCCAAAGTGAAGTGGAAAGCTTTGGTTTAGTGTGGAAGGGTAACGCGGAACAATTCGATCTGAACGGTAAGTGTATCTTTTGTTATGATGCATGATCTTAGACCTAGAACGAATGTACATAATAAATAACTGACTAGAATTAGCCTCATGGAATGATTTCCGTAAGTGGAGAATTCATTCTCGTACATCTATTCATTTTCGTATGGAAACGATTTTGCTCTTACCGATCGATCGCCTTAGAAAGGATGAGGCCGACAGAAATGTTCTTTTGTGATATTTGTGTGGAAAATGACACGCTATTTTGCCCATTTTGGTTTCAAACTGGGTTAGATTTTCCAGGAAACCAGGAGAGCGTATCAATTTGGTTTCAACTCGAAACGAACAATGGAGTAAGAAAAAAGGTGAAAAAGATGAAAATGAAGCAAAATGTATATTTTTAACCAGCTTAACTACTGGATGGCTTTTACCAGTACTTTTACGCTGACCTCAACTATTGTATACCACAAAGAAGTATAGTGGATTAAAAACAAGGAGCAAAATTCCTTAAAAGCTAAGTCGGAAAACGAGTGTGGATTTTCATTACCAGATCTGAAAAATTTGCGGAAATGCAAGAATCTATCCAAGTCTCTATCCCAGGAAAGAACAGGACTGCTTTATATGTTCAACTGTCGAACCTGCCTCTTTATTCATAGAAATTTGACCTTTTGAAATAGAACTTGAAAAGTTTAGAAATTACTATGGATACATTTGTTCACAGCTGACGGCAAACTCAGTCCTGAGGAGTCTAAAATCATGACTTACATAAGCAAATATGATACGAAGCAACTCCTGTGTCATTTCAAAGCAACTGATACGAACCATGATTTGTTTGTGACGGCTGGAGAGCTGGAGAAACGATTTAAAGACTTCAAATATGATATCACTCCAGACGGCGTTGCTGAATTTATTAAGGAGGGTGACGTTGATAAACCGGATAATAAATTAAATTTCCACGGTAAGTAATTTATATCATCTCTCATTAATTATTTTCGTTAGCGCGCGATTGGTCTAAACGCATCCCGTGGCAAAATATCCACTCGCTAAAACTGGCATTATTGCTCGTTGTGAACGAAACTACATCGTTTAAGGCGGAAAACACTCGAGAGACTTAAAAATTTGTCAAAAAGGAACATGGAGGAGCAAGGACATGAAATAAAGAAACGGATGGAAAAATGATATTATTGAAAGTTTTTTTCATGGATTACGAGTAAAGGAGAAATACTCCTAGTCTAAGGATCTTTATTCGTTTGAAATCGCCATATTGTTGTTTTATAATATAAAAAAAAGACCTATTGCTCATCATCAGTAACAGCACCTGTTCTTTGAAAGTGAGGAGGCCTATCCCATTAGCCCGTTGGCTTCTTGGGTCTCCTCGCCTTCTCTAAATTATAATGCTATAGATAATTATTTAGTATTTTTTAAAAAGGCCATAATTATGATGGTGTCTCACGCAAGATTTAAGCAAAGCCTTTTTTCCTGTTATCCATTTGTCATTAACTCCATGACTAATTATTTGATTTTTATCTGTATACGTAGTAATAATACTTTCATTTTTGTCTTTCAGAGTTCAGCTTGGCTATGTTTGGTGCTTGATACCCAGCATCCACTTAAGTTAAACAGGCCAACGAGGTCACTTTGTTTTATTTGTTCTTGGGGAGTTTAATGTAGTCTGTCTGTAGATTTCTAATTGTGGGATGTATCAATAAAGAAAGTAGTGAATAAAATAATTTAGTTTGTGGTTGATTCCATACGTTACAACAAGAAACATTGTAATTTTTCTTTTTATTTGTAGGTCCATTGGGTGTCGATTTGGCATAAATGTTGCGCACACTATTATATATATTTTTTCTTTTGCAATTTCTCGTTCTCTGAGATTCTTTGAGTTGTGGATGCTTCAGCCTGGGGTAAGCACGAAGAACACTTCCACTACATTATATTCCGTCCCCAGTATCCATAAAAATGGGTGAAACAATATCTTCAACTGAGCTCCCAGGTTACATCCGCTCTCATAATCATTGGGATTCAGTTTCCTTTTTGACTCAGAACTCTCGTTGAATAAGAAGGAAAATAATCGTTACCTGGGAGCATTTCTGATCTGATCAGAGGCAAGAAAAATTTGACTCGTTTGGAAACCCAAAACTACACAAACTTTCAAAATCCCTGCCCGTTTAAATTTCTTTTGATTGTTTTGACCAATACTTCTACAACGTCTCATTTCAGTGAAAGTTTTCAGTGATAATTGTACCAAAAATTTACCTCTAGTGATAAAAACAAGCAATCATTCTAAGAGACAGTAAATAAGCCTTATTATTATCCAACTGTGCTTCGAAGCGAGTACAAATATCTCGCGGTATTTGTACTTCAGAGAACCGGTTCGACAGTTTTTCTCGCATCGCGCAAGCGACGCATTGGATTGAAGTTACGAAGAAAATAGCGGACAATTTATATTATTTTTCTGACGACGAAGAGTCGGAATGGCTGGCAAATATTGATCCAAATTTATCAGATAACCCGGGGTGGCGATTTGTCTCATCTCGGCAGGTAAAGTAACCCTGGCCGACGGGCCAACCTTTTTCTCATATATACACCTTATCGCGCCCACCCGAGACAAGACAACTCGAACAGAAAATGCGTGCACACACTATAACAAGAGCACGTATGTATTACAGCTATTCTTTTCCTGTCCTACGCACTGTCGAATATTTAACCTGGCCCGGCCGAACGAGGGTTAGCAGATGTCAAATTTCATAGAAATGCTGCGTAGAGTTGTCTCGAGGGGAAGGTTTTCGCGGGTACCTGAGACCATATTAATGGGGCCTAATACCAACTCATTAAGTATCGTGTTGTCTTCAAAGAAGTCCCAAGACATTTCCAGTCTGTTATACGGTGGAACAGGTTGCACTGCTCAATCAATCGAGTTTTATTAACGGTATCACTTCATTAAAAGTTAAAATGCTCTTCCAGTCGGCCGTTTACATAAAAAAATTTGCAAAGAAACTACTTTAATGCTAAAATATTTCTATATATTAAGAAAATCTATCCTATGATTAATTACACAAGAATCAATCAACCTTAAAGGTGCATTAAATAACTAAAGTAAATTCAATCTCAACTTCCTCAAGGCAATCCATGGTTCAAGAGGACAGGGCAGATTTGAAAGAGTTGAGATTTATTTCGTCTTTAAGCGCCATTTTCGAGGCCATTCCACATGACTGCTCCCTTGTAGCTAAAAGCCCGCTTAGCAGCTACAGTACGGGGCCACGGTACAAAAATGTTGTTCGAGGCACCTCGCACATTGTAAGAGTGGTTTGACCATCACTGAAATAAACGCGGTGTTTTTCTGAGCACAGTTATTGCATACGGTTTGTGGAGTGAACATTTCGACGCGATCGGCCTCTCTTTTACTGTCACGGTTGACCACATATATCTTACAGCCGTGTCAAATTTGAGTAGATCCAACTGACAGCTTGAATAGTACTTACACGAGGATTTTTTTCCCTTTTCAGTACAGGTGAAATTGCCATAAGAATGATACTTTTGCTGAAAAATGGACCATTCTATTGATAAAGGGAGATACTTTTGTTCGGAGGTTAATCTATAGTCTACTGCAACAACTATTTGGCCACCATGCCTCCTCCTCTGATCGTGACGATTAGAGTGGAGGGAATGGGGTCAATTTTAAAATATGGAACCCTTATAACATTGCGTAACTAATAGGGCCTTAAGACGACTTTAGGCGACTAAATTAAAGGTGACTTAAGAAGGATTGGACTGGTAACTGTCGTTAAGTTAAATATTAAGTTTTAGTGAGACATTATTGCGAGCTCGTGCGTTGTGGCCTCGTGCGCTGTCGCTAAAAGGAGAGTTTATGCGAGTTTGTGCGATAGAGTAATCTGCGATAAGGCTATCTGCGATCAATTGCGACTTCTGGTTAATAAGGCGTACAGAGAGGACAATCGGTAAGCGTATTTTTCTCTCCCCTTGTTGTTTTAGTTTATTATTTGATCGGTTATTGTTAGGGTTTATTCGCTTGATTTTTTGTGTTGTTATGATGTAATAATTATTGTTTTAGTTTAGCTCCTTGTAATGTCGCGTAGACTAAGTTTTCTTGTTTGTGTTTTAGTTTGACGTGTTTGATATGAGATGAAATCGTATTGGAATCATAATTATACGGGTCTGGTATCAAATTTAGTACCTCGATGTCCTCTATGCGATAAACGCCTACAATTATATAGACGACTAAAGCGACTCAAGGTAATTTAAGGTGACTTAAAACGCCTTAAGTCGCCTTAAGTCACCTAGGTCCCAGAGTGGGTTTTAGACAATAATTCCCTTTGTTCTACAGTTGCGCCGAAGCAATTGAAAAGAAAGAAGAATTCATTTACCTTCAGTGCACGCTTCATTAAAAGTCCTTCGATCCAAACGGACCTTTGTTAACAAAACTGTCTATCTGTAGGGACATTTTACTCCTTTGTTACCCTCGGATTAAAATGCTATAAAAGTTGTGTTCACATGGCTCTATTCACATGCATTTCTCCTCGGCCAAGGTCACTTCCAGTTCCAAAGCAAAGGTAAGATATAATTTTTGTTAGGTTGTACCTATACTGGCCAGTGAATTAAGCTTTTATATTTGCACAGAATGTTATAATGTCTTTGAGTTGGATGGAAGAAATGATGGACATATTGATATGGATCGCGATGTTGTCGTTTTTGGAAACATCGGTGGAGGCAGCATTTGTTCCGGTAGCGATGAAAGTCTTCTTTTAATTGTTAAGCTTCAAAGATTCCAGGCAATAAGTAATGTTCCTTCCCCTATGATAGTTAATCACGAAGTTGATCAATGGCAAGCATGAATGATCTTTTGACTGTATGCGGCTCTGTATGCGGCTAGGGTGACTTGGGAGTTGTGGCTGTATTTGTTTATTAGACACGACAGCCGACTGAGTTATAACTGAAGCACTGATGTTAAAACTAGGGCCCAATGCAAAACTACAGAGGTGTTTGTACATCTCGAGATTGTCATACTGCCAAATATGTGGATTTCACAGTTGTCATAGTCGTCACAGTTCGTATCTGTGGTAACCAATCTTTTAAACACTTTCCAGGATATTGTGATGTCTCGGCCCCGAAAGCGGCGAAATCACCGGCGGACAGCTCACTGCCTATTCACAATGGGATGAGAACCATGGCCCTAAACGCAGTAGACTGAACATTCAGAGAAGGTAACATGCCAGGCGATTGGTGCTCTCGCAGGACTGAGGGAAACCAGTACCTTCAGGTTGATATCTCTGACGTAAGTTTTCAAGTGACGAGTGTTGCCACACAGGGAAGGGCTGACTCGAACCAGTTGGTCACTAAGTACAGGCTGCAGTATTCTGTGGATGGAGTGACCTTCCAGTTCTACAAGGAGCAAGGACAATCTTCAAACAAGGTGAATGAATACGCCTTGTTTGATGGTTTAACATATGATACGCGCCGATATTTTACGAGTTACGTAGTATTTTCCCGGTGAACCCCGAGGGGGAGGAAAAGTACAGGCACAGCTGTATTTGTAGCCGTCTATAATAAACATAGAGAAGTGACCTGCCGCCGGCCAACATGGTCTCATATAGTATGTTAATGCATTTGTTTCTCATCGTCTCAGGAATTTAGTCGTGACACAGACAGAAATACCATAGTTCGCCACAATCTGAATCCACCAATAAAGGCACGTATGATCCGTTTTCGACCTGTCAGTTGGGTTAATCACATTTTCACGAGGGCAGAGCTCTATGGTTGCTTTTTCGGTGAGATAACGTTGTAACAACTTTTTTATTATTATTGATCTTTACTTCACGAGGGTATCAATGTGTTAATGGCTTGCGAGGCTGACGGGTTAAGCATTTTGGCCAATCTACCGACGGTTAACGATTAATTTAATTCCGTTGTAATTAAATGAAGAAAAAATTCGCGTCCTTTTTTTACGCGCAACGGCGAAATTTGTGGTCATTTTTCAGCTAGTTGTTAATCCATTTTGAGAACCTCTTCTAATTAAAGCGATCGATCTGCTTGATCTTACTTCAAAAGAGTCAAGTGTGCGATGGGCAGAACCGTTGATTTTTGCTTGTTCAAGGCTAAGATACATACGTAATGACTTGTTCCTAGTTACGCTGCAATATCAAGAAAATTTAATTATTCAAATCTCTTGAGTTACCAGGAGATAACTTCTCTTTGCAATATAAATACAATCATGACCAAGCAGGCAAGTGATGAGAGCAATTTATCACACCAATTGGGGATTATTAGCGTTGTTTGGCAGACGGTAAGAGAGAATTGCTCAAGAAGTCTGTCTGTGGAGTGAAGGCGTTAAAACACTGGTAAAAGAATCGAGGGCAGATACACTTAAGATTTGTTACAATTCGTTGATTTGCATAGCAAATACCAAAAGAATACTTCATGACCCTATAGTTTGCTAAGCTCTGAATGCGGCATTGAGTTGGGGTCGTCTCATTGTATTTTGTGAGGTTCCCAGTCCCCCAAGCAGCACATTTCCCCTTGCACCGTTCCTCGTCGAGCCGGAGGTGGTTCATGTGACTCCCAATGTTGTTATAGCCATATGTGTATCCTTTTTTAAAAAAAAAAATAAAATACAGAAGGATGTCTCAAGCCCCTCGGCATGCAAAGCGGTGAAATCTGTGACGAACAAATTTCTGCCTCTTCGGAATGGAACAAAAATCGTGGGGCCA